GCAGACGAAGAGAATTTCATTTTTTCTGATTAAATTTGAACCAAAATATTTCGTTAAACTTGTTAGATTAAGATATTTTACGAGTACTTAGGTTTGGTGCTACAGGGAAGGAAAAAGTGTCTTTTTGGTAAAAAAAATAATAGTATGGCATGAATTAAATAAATATTCCAAAATTTTGACAAAAATGTATCCATAAAGAAGCAAACTAAAACAGTTTACTTTTTCTACATAAGACTTTGTTTGATTTTACATGAGAATTTTAGAAGACTGTTTTATTCTACTTGATCATTTTATACTTACAGTTTTTATTGAAATTTTCTCCGTAATCTTCAAAATCCTACAAAAACGCTTAACTATACAAAATTGTTTTTTAGCTCTACAAGATCGTTTTAATTAAAATTTGGCATTTTTGTGTTTTAAGTAGGCCTATTGCTTCAAAATGTTTCTTGATTTGATTTGAAAAGCTTGTTGATAATATGTTACAGTAAATCAACCATAATTCCTGAGCTCTTAAACTTTTCCTAAATATTCTTTTGATTTTAATTTTAATTTTATGAGAAGTTTTTTTAGTTTAGTTATTGTAAAAAGTTTAAACATTTGTATGATGTAGCAACTTTAGTTAAATAAAGCATTCAATTCATTCATTCATTAAATAATTTGTCGTTTTACAACAATTGAGTCATCAACCAAAAGACATCAGTGAAATACATAGAGAGATTGTGAACTATTGGCAAAGGAATTGTAAAGGGAAATGAATTGTGAGATGATCAGATATCAAAGGCACATTTCTGGTTTTCCGAGACTTCTGGCCAGTGATATGTGATAATCCACTTTATAGCTACATAGCCAACATGGCACGCCTGCTAAGGATTACAGATAATCCTCTGTACTTTATGATACCTCATCGTCCTCACAAACCAAGTTATCTTTTTTTTATCAAAAAAATGTTTCCTTATATTTAAAAAGATAAATCAGTAGCCTAAGTAGTTGTGAGAAAAATAAAACACGACAGCGAATTTTAAGTATGGAACAAATTTATAATATCGTGCCTATGGTTTAGTATGTAGTATTTAGATTTGGTAAATTAACATTAATTAACTTTAGGTTACAACAATAAAAAGTAAAGTTTTATATCTCCCTGGGGAGGTTTGTGAACCATAAATACGAACATGTAAATAAGATCCGCTTCAAGAAATTTATGAAATCTCTGCATTTAATAAATAAGTGAACGAGTTTGTGGTTATATGTTCATTCGTTTTAAATTCATGGACTAACAGGTGTGTAGGGTAATCAAAAGAAAATACACCAACAAATTGAGCTATAAATAACATTTTAATAAGGTTTCAACAACCAACTAGTTATTATAAATAAACAATGCTCGTATTCGAAGTTTAAAAGGCTAATACTTGTCTAAAAAATATATTCGAAACCTGTTAGAAAATATATTAAAACTATTACACATAATCTAATAAAGAGCCGCTAAGTTAGACTTGGCGAATATCTAATTGCCTAATTGAATTTTTAATAAATGGAAATTTACACTCAGTGCTACGCTTAGTGGCCAGTTTAAATAAAATTGCTTTAGGTTTGCTTCTAAAAGCAACAAAAATACAAATTTGTTCCCATGTGGTATCGAAATGTTAACAGCATCTGTTATAGATAAATACAATTTAGTCAATCAATTTAAAATATGAACTTACTTGAATTCAAAATTTGATCTGAATGAAGTAAGTTTTTGTGAGACACAAGTTTGTTCAGTAATCAAATTACAATCAAGGAATGATTTAGTTGCGAGAATTGCTGACAGTTAGGGCTGCATGGAACGCTCGAGCTATGCTAATATGCTTTTACAAACCTCAGTTGAAAACTATTAACTTTTAGTTCATTTGGTTAAGCTGATTTTCTCATTTTGGTGCTTGTATTTTCATCCATCGTGTAATATAAAAATTTGGTTTAAAATTAAGGATCTAATTTTACTTTAAAATTTGAGAGTCTCAAACTGGTTTAAATTTACCACATACAGATACAATGTAACCTTGATAACAAGAACCTCGATAGCAAATAGTGCTTGATAACAAGTGTAGCCTATTTAACAATCTTTGGTTTAAAAAAATGCGACTGGATTAATTATTTTTTTAGAGAGAATTTGTACTGATTTGTTGTCAAAAGCGTTGTTATATACAAGTCTTCACTCTTATAGTATATATTTTAAAAAAAGGTCTTTTTAAATTGCTTTTTTCTAAAAATTTAATATTCACCATTTTGGAACATCAAAATTGTTAGAATTGTTTTAGTCCTAAAACTACTAAAATTTATTTAAATTTTTCCCGAAAAACTCATAATTTAAAAATCCCTTACACAACAGCTGTTGTCGAGTAAATAAGACGAGCAAAAACAAATAAATCTAGGTTCGTTTTCCACTATGTACATGTAGAATCAAATTACGAATACCCTTTACAATTGTAGAATCCTCTATACTATCGCTTTATAAATTTTGAGAAAGGAACAGATCACAATTCATACTTAGCTTAAAAATCTTTCAATATTACAATTTCAACGAAATTCCCATATGGGGAATAAGCTATTACTGTAGGTCTCATGGTAAGACATGGTCCCGGGCCCAATTTACTCTTTTCGTGAGGTTCCCAGAGGTCAAAAAACCATCCATTCAAATTAATTTATACATATAAATGTCCATTAGCACGATACCTCGAGGAAAAATGGTTCAATTTTGATTAAATTCTGTGCAAATGTGTAAACCTACGTTTATTCGAACGAGTTCGCAAACCAGCAAGATTGGACCATGGGAATGAGGGTTTAATTATGGGGGTTTTTTAATGGGGGAAAACATTTCAACGTGTCTTTCTAAACCATTTTGTAGAGTTTGGAAAAATAAACCATTTAGTATATAGAAGCGTTATTATATGCCTAACGGTCACGGAGACATAAAAATGTTATTAAGAATGCCTATGTCATTCTTAAGGAGAGTAAATAAACTGTTAGATTTTGCTTGTTCATTGATATAATTTAACCAAACTTCCCAAATTTCCCCTGTATCAGCAAGCCTAAGTACTATTTAAAATTTATGTTATTTAAACAGGAAATAAAACGATAATTTTAAGGAAATATTATTGTGGAAATCTAGCCAGGTAAATGTAAATTCACTTGGTTGCATGTTTGCTGTCCCGGGGGTATTCTACTCATACAGTGGTTTACGAACCACCTCAACATCCCTTGAGGTGATTTGGTTACCATGGTTCCATTACTCTTGTTATGGTGAACATGTTATATAATATATAAAAATTATACATATCATGTTCGGTGAACATCGTCAAGTTACTAAGACGTTGTTAATTGCACTGCTAACTAATTGTGGCATAATTGGGTTGAAACCATGTAAATCGATGAGTTAGATACACGAATTACTGTAACTCATAATCCTAACTAAAGATAAAGCGTTCATTTAAGCCGTTTCAATACATAAGGCTATCATCCTGACTTTATAGTACCTGCCTTTGCACGTCGTAAACCTTAAATACCTCCACCACAGCAAACCTGCAGACTTGGCGAATTTGCATTTACCTGGTTGGATTTTCACAAACATATTCCACTGGAATTGATATATAGTCAGATTTAATTCATATTTAAATAACATTAATTTTAATGAGTACTTAAGTTTGCTGCTACAGGGAAGGTAATAAGGTATGTTTTTAAGAATTTTTTATAGTTTAGTAAGAAATAAACAAATTTACCAAATTGTTTCCATAAAGCAAACTACAAAAAATATTTATTATCCATAAGAATGATATAGGAATTATAAATTTACATTTTTTTGGAATTTTCTTCATAGCTGTACAACAACGCATAAACTAAATTATTTGTTTTTCTTAAGCTCTACAAAATGGTTTGGAAACAAATTGCTAAGTTGATGTTTAAGGGTCATATATTGGAAAACTTAATTTTTAACCAATAATACTCATTCGAATAAAAGTAGATTTACACGTTTGTACCAAATTCCATCCAAATCGGATGACTTTTACTCGAGTTATCGTGCTAACAGACATACACATGAATTTGAACGAATGGTGTTTTTGGCCTCTGGGGGCATCAAAACCAAAAGTAAATCAGTCCCTGGTCTAAGTCTTACCATGAGAACTACGGCAATACCCTTTTCTCTAAGGGAAATTCTCTAAACAATTTTATTTGGGAAAACCTCAATGTAAACATGGATTAACTCACAATGGATAAAGAATAAATTGTGCGTTTTATCATATGCGTCTCTATTACAGCGTATGCATTTATGGATACAATTCAGATTATAGTTACCATATAAGTGAATATGCCCACAGAATGTATTAATGTAATTTTTTTTTCAAAACTTTAATAGTAAATTAAGAATTTTAAGATATATATGTAAATTAAGATGTATGCGTTAGATATTTAAAATTGAATATGTTACTCGTAAAAGAAGTGTAAACCTTAAACAAGATTCAACCAAACAAATAAAATTGCTTTAGGGCTGTAAAGATAATCCGAAAGACTAAATAAACACTCTTCAGACGCTTAACTAATTTATATTAACGAGTAGGCTTTATTTATATTACCTTATCTAATGGATTCCTCAGTTGAATTTCCAACAGAATTCATAGTAATAGCTATTCCATTAATTATAGTGAACCAAAATGTTTATTGTAGTTATATTAAATAACACAGTTACTTTATATTCGATAAATAGTGATAAAATATTTAAAGAAAATCATATGTAAAATAATCTGTCAAAATGTAATTTCAAATTCCAATCTTTTGCCCGCCAACAGACTAAAAATTAAATATTATACGTTTTTAAATTAACATAAAAACATTTAGAGACCTATTACGTGTTGACGTCATTAAGGAAACTATTTAGTCTATGGATTGTAATATTTAGTAAATTAATATTTTTTGTAATAAATATTAAGCTAGTTAACAGATATATTTTAAGGGCACGTAGGTATACTTACTCAACTGTGTAATGTTTAAAACACACCCAACCTACACCGGAGCAAAACACAAACTGAGCTCAGGAGCCGTCTCTGACGTTACATCTCGCCCCCTCTTACACCACCCGAGTATCAACTGACGCTTATCTTTGAAAAAAATACAACCATCTTTTCTCTAGCTTCCTTTTCTTTAAACTCAGTGATAAAATGTAATCCAAACAAACGCCGTATCAATTAGACCCGTTAACGATTATAACGTAATCACTTGTATTAGCTAATCTTAGGCATTGAGATTTTGGATTTTTGATCTCGTTCGATGTCGTAATCGGTGGCTCCTAATAAGAATTATATGTTTATGTTTACCAATTCTATTAAATAATACTTCGATGCAACATTTCAGTCGTAGGCTGTTTAAAAAAATGAAACATAACATGTTTTTTTCCACCATTGATGATTAAATTCGTATGATACATTATCCAAAATATCTTAATCTTAGAAGTTGCCACAAGAATTGTATAGGTATTACATAAATTTAACAGGTCCAATTTGATTGGTCCAACGGAAAGTAGATAATTGTGTTCTACGAAATTGGCTGACGTAGTCTAAGTATAACCACAAAAGCACACTCTGTTCCTTACTATAGCTAATATTCTCATACCCAGTTATGACGTGTTCTACTGGTTATGACGTCATATGGCCCAATGAATTGATTGGTCCAACGGACAGTAGATAATTGTGTTCTACGAAATTGGCTGACGTAGTCTAAGTATAACCACAAAAGCACACTCTGTTCCTTACTGTAGCTAATATTCTCATACCCAGTTATGACGTCATATGGCCCAATGAATGGCGCAGAATGTAGACTGCAAGTCATTTTTTCTTAGTTTTAACACGCTGTAACTCCTAAATAGTAGCTTTAGAGACAAATTTTCAGGTATAAAAACGTTTTCAAATGGCATTTACTTTCTAAATAAATCATAAAATATAGGGTCTTACTTAGGAAAATCAAAGTTGGCGGCCATATTGGAAAAATGGTGACTAAAATGATTTTTCATTTTGACCAACATTTTTTAAATAAAAAATCCAATGCAGTTACTAACATTTTTGATATCTCTTATAACTTTCGAATTAAACAGCTGGCACACTTATATCAATCACCCTGCATACAGGGTGATTCACCTCTAAAATGTTACAATAGGTAACTTGTCAGGCGTTTATTTTACAGAGAACCTTAAATGAACAACTTCCCTTCTTTTTCGTGACATTTTACGAGATGCTATTTAACATTTAACATTTTGCCGCTATTTTGGAAAGTGGAGGGAAATTTGATAAAACTGCAAATTTAAAACTCTTATAGACTATTATTTTTATGGATGATTAAACTGCTGTATGCAGTTTTATGAATATAGTCTTAGTCTTGCAGCCATTTGAACAAATTTTGTCACTTTTCAGCATGTCAAAAGAAACAAGAAAGGTATATAACATGTGTTCTATCTAATTTCGTTTTCGGTACATCTATATGTATGTAATTTTTACAAAAAACATTCATAACTCCTTAACTTCTTAAGCTACAGCGTTGAAATTCTGTATACATGTAAAAAATGTTAACAATTATTTTTACGCCACACTACACTATTTTGACGAACTTCTCACGCAAGGATTAGTCCAGAAAACAGCTCTTTGCCGCCAGCTTAATCAAATGGGGTTTCATTACGTAGACTACTATTGTACTGTAATGAGTTTGTGGTTATACAGGCTGTCCCGTAAATAAACAGCCAAACTCTGGGAAATGGTTCTATGGGTCAAAATAAAGAGAAAATAAAATTAACATTTTTTCCAAAATCCGCCGTTAACCAGATATCCGCCATTTTGTATTTTTTACATAATCATTTTTATTTTTGGATTTTTTAAACCGATCTTTTTGAAACTTAGTATGTGTGTTAAGGTGAACAAGAACAGTGTTAGAAAAAAAATAATCTTAATTCAACTTATAATTTCAAAATGGCGGCCATTTAAAATTTTTTAAACTTAAATTACTGAAAAACGGTTAATTTTATGAAAAAATGCTAGGTACACTTTTATTTAGAATTTTCAATTCCCTATCAAAAGATACCAAGTTCAAAAAGATTAAATAAGAAATAGCTGAAATATTAAGATTTTTAGTTGTATAATGCGGTAGAATAAGGCTAAATAGTCCTTTTGCCCCATTTTACCACTAAAAATCTTAATATTTAAGCTATTTCACATTCAATTTTTTTGAACTTGGTATAGTTTGATAGGCAATTAAAAATTCTAAATAAAAATATACTTGGCATTTTTTTCATAAAATTAACCGTTTTTCAGTCATTAAAGTTAAAAAAATTAAAATGGTCACCATTTTGAAATCTTAAGTTGAATTAAGATGATCTTGATCTAACACTGGTCTCTTCTACCTTAACATACATACCAAGTTTCATAAAGATCGGTTTAAAAAATCCAAAAATAAAAATGATTATGTAAAAAATACAAAAAGGCAGATATCTGGTTAACGAAGCGATTTTGGAAAAAATGTTATTTTTTATTTTCTCTTTTTTTTGACCCCTAGAACCATTACCCGGAGTTTGGCTGTTTACTTACGGGACACCCTGTATATAAGGATTTGTACAGATTTAGTAGTATGGTGTAAACTATCATACGTTACTCGTCCAAAATTTGTTTACCGGACTCGTATGGTAAACCCGTACTAGTATTACAGAATTTCAATGCTGCAGCTCTAGCAGTTAGAGAGTTATGAATGTTTTAGTTAAACTCACATACAGGACAGATAGACCGAAAACAGAATGAGACAGTACACATGTTATATTACATTTTGGGTTCCTTTTGGACATAATGAATAACGTGACAAAGTTTGTTCATATGGTTGCAAGCAGCAAGACACCCTGTATTTTAGTTTTAATCAGGCTAATTAATTAACATTGTTAGGTTTTTTGTAAACTTCAAACCCTGTTCTTGGTGTCTAACGACCTTTGGTTAGATAACACCATTAATTAATCAACAACTAACAGCATTTTGATACAGAATTGATTCATCTTGGGATTGAATAAGCAACTTCCAAATTTAAAGGCAAGCTTGACCAAAGAGATCGTTACATCAATGTTATCACAAATTCAGAAGCACTTAACTTATACTGTATGCTATTATGTATGATTAATCTTTAATATAATTTAAAATATGCCTGATACATTTGTCCTTGTCTAACTGAAAGGAATGTGTGAGAAAGGTGCTTGATAAAATTAAAAACAGAATTAGTAGTGAAATAATTTTTATTCAAACTATATTTAAAAAAATAATTTCTCTGTGGCTGAACAAGTGAATCAGTCCAGCCTGTTGCACATCCTGAAATCGTTTGTAAAGCCCTTCAAAACTTTGTCAGTAGAAATTCCTAATTCTACCAAATGAAAGGCATTGATCAGCATTGGAGGAGAAGGCCGTATTACTGAAACATGATATTTCATCCTCAATTGTTATGTTCATTTACAGAGTGTCCTCAAACTTCCTGGTCCCCTTTTGTGGATTTGTCCTTCTGCATCCTGACATAGTCTACAATATAATTATGTGCTGAAGGAACTTAGTTATCTGTATAACTGTCTGAATTTGACATTTACTCAATATTTATAAATACCGTAACTTAAGATCCATTCCATATACAAACTTGAGATTCAGCTGTGTTACTAAATATATGGTAAAGACCCCTTTAAGTTAAGCAACTTTTTACTGTTTCGAAATGCCACATTTATCAACTTCATCCAGATTTAGATCTTTTTATTTGTCAAAAAATTCAAAGTTCCACCAATTTTAAGAGAAAACGGTATAAATTTGCAATTGCACACATTCCGACTTAGTAATCGTGCTATGTTTCATGTTAATGGATAAGATTGATCATTAATTATTACAATTTTAGGGATAATCACATATATACAGATAGTTTACTCTATATACTCTATGTACACACTTTTGACCTATGTTTATATCACAAGGAAGGCACAAATTCACCAAAGAAGGCCATACAAAATCCAAGACACTCTGTATATATTCTATAGGCCCATGATTGGGGAAAGAGTTCTCATCTGTATGGAGTCTGTAGTGTTATATTTGAATTATACCAAATGATATGTTGTCAGCAAATCACAAAGAACCAAACATTATATTAATAGCAGTAGGTTAACCTGGACAATCTGATATCCAAGTTGTTTGATAAAGAAATTTGCATTCAATTATAAATAAACCATCACAAAAAAGTCAAGAATTTTTCACTTTTTCTTAGTATTTAAAAGAGTTAAACCTATCTGCTTAAATGTCTTACCATTCTAATTTGGGGTGTGCAAATCTTTGAATATTGTGCAGGTATAATTCTGATAGATCATTTTACTCATTATACAATAGTTCAGAAAACTAAGTGATTGTTCAAGCATTGATGCCTGAGGAAGTTTAGGAACTGAAACAAACAGGGGTGTTATTCTCATCAGACAGATTCATCCAAACAAGAAAAACTTAGACAGTAAAATCTTGCCTGCTAAGTAGTTAAAAAGTTAACTCTGATAGTGGTCAGATTTCCTCTAAGTATTTGGATCGTCGGGTATCCAACTTTAAATAGGTTAAAACATTATGCACACTATTGTACCAATGAAGTGAATTTTACAGTCAAAATTTATGTTTTCTACAAAAACAATTTAGGAATATGAAATGTACAATTTAAATATCCCTGTAAAAAAACTATCTGTAGTGAACTGTTATTTCTATTGCAGTTAAATGTTTTCTCTTAAACATCATAAATGATTTTTTCCACTTATATATACTTAGCACCTTGAAGGTCTAGTGGTAGAGCACCAGCAGTACTTTGGTCCGTGAGGGGGGGGGGGGGCTTTGAACTACTTTTTAGTTGTTGTACTAGTCTAGTCAACTACATGTTCTGTAATATTAACTGATTTATAAACTTTCCATTTTGTTTGCATAAGTTATATTATTTAGAAATTCTGTTTCCTTTTGATATTAACATAACAAAAAGTC